CTAAAATTTAACTAAAATAACTTAAATTACCTATTCAACATGTAATCAAACTTAAACTAGAAAAACACTAAAAATGCTACGATCCAAACCTACAATCTCAAAAGTCTAGCTACTTAAACCCCTAAAATATGTCAAAATAACTCTATATAATAGAGCTATCAGCAAGCACAATCCTTACAATTGCCTTTTACCGAGAACAAGCACAACCATACTAATTTTTCAAGGCTAAGCTAGAATCCTTACAAGGATGGAAACAAGGAATAGCAATAATGCTTATAAGAGGAAGATTTTGCTAGGTAAGTACAAAAGAGGAAGAATGGCTAATAATGGGTGTAAATATTGGAGTGAAAGCTCAAGTGAGATTTTAACTCAAGAATGTTTAGTTTTGCTTGGTATTTCTCTTTTTTCTCTTCAAGATTTTGATTCTCAAGGGTTTGGCCTTTTTCTCCCTTCTTCCACACATTGAAATGCTTCCAAAGGTCTTTTTTACAATTGAAAAAGTCTTGGAGCCATTGGAGATAAATCAAACAGGAAACTAGTCCTTTGTCTTTGAGTTTTGTGTTTAACGTTAAGTCAAGCATAGAGCCTCAAGGGTCAACTATGTTCCTTTAAAATTTCAAATTAAGGCTTCAATAGTTGAATACAAGTGTTCTTTAGTCAATCCACTTCCCGAATGCTCGTCATTTTGAGTTCTTGCCTTGGAGGGTCAATTGGAGAGCCTCCAAAGTCGATTGAGCCTTCTTAAAACATAAAATTTTTCATGTGTTCTACTTGATGGTCAACTAGCAAGGTTATAAGGTCAATTGACACTATGTTTCTTCACAATTTTTCATCATTTTAGTCATAAAGTTGACTGGGGCTTTTGAGTCTTTAATATTCTTGATATTTTTGCATGTGTAGTTGGCTATATCTTCCTTGTAATCAAATTTTGAGTAGAGAATGAACTTCTTGACTTGAAATATCCTTGATGTTTTTATATATTGATGATCATTGAGTGCCTTAACATAAACTCCACCACTTGTGAACCTATCTTGCACTTTCAAGCATCCAAAAGTAATTATTAAAGAGATCATGGAAAGAACTCATTCAAGTAAGTTTAACACTCATACAACTAAGTCATTCAAGCTTGTAGACATTTATAAAGTGAGTGTATGATTAATAATTTCAAGAATTCACACAACTTAAAGTAATTAAGCTTGTAATTATATAAAAACGAGTGTATGAGAGTTGATTGTTTCAAGAATTTATCAAAAATCACTCAAACAAGGTTCGAGCATATTATGATCATTTTGTCATAATCAAAACCTATAATCATTTTAAAGCTAACACTTTAAATTAAAGTATCGACATTTGTTACCATTTTCACAAAAATAAAAAGGGTTAAATAGGATTTTCACCCTAAAATTTCCTTTTTAGGGCTTTTCTAAAACCCTTTTACACTTAGTTTGCCACTTTTTGCCTTTTCTCTTAACTCAAAACCCTTCTCTACCTCTCTCACTCATAAACGTCCATTTTGGAATACTTGAATTTGGTTTTCGATTTTGAAATTAGCAAAGGTAAGTTTTCCACTCTAGAGCTTTTCAAATCTCTAGTTATCAAATATGATTTTTACCTTTCTCAACAGATTCAGGTTTCTCTCTCTAAGGGTTTGCTGTTCTAATTGATTTTCTCTCACTACAAGCTCACTAAGGTAAGAGGAAGATAGATTCAAGTGTTTAAATTGTTAGTTTACCTTTGAACAATAGATTAACAAGTTGAAAAGTTAGATTAGAAAAAATTTAGTTTGGGTTTGTAATAGCTTAGCTTCAAATTACGATATTTATAATTTAAGACGAGTTTATGATTGAATGATTGTTGTTATAGGGTTTGTTGAAACTCTAAGGATTACTTTGGAGTAAGGTGTCAGTGTTTTGATTGCATGTTAGTTTACAAATCAATTGAGGTGGGTAAACACGACATTTTAATTATTTTAATATGTATTAAACTAAACCTTTTTATCAAATGTTTTTAAATGATGATTTCAAAGGTATATATGTTATGTAAATACTTATACTACGTAGTTGTTTTATACAATGAAGGACAAGCCCTTTCAAATGTTTCCTTTCAAAATTATATACAATGGTATGTGAATTGATGGTTGAACATTACTTATGTGAGTATGCATGAATGTGGTAGCACGTTCGAGATATAGATGTTGAATTCCCATTTCACATGTGTATTGATTGATATGTTAATTATACAAGTTTAAATGTTGATTGGTGTTGTGGTACATTATAGGTGTGTTGAATATGGTACAAATATGTTGCCTTGACGTGAGGCATGGGACCACTCTATTTAATGTCCTAGATAGCGGGGAATGTACCATTATCCAAGAAATGCCTTAGATAATGGGGATCATACCATTATCCATGAAATGTCCTAGATAGTGGGGACCTTACCATTATTTGTGAATTGTCTAAATAGTGGGGATCATACCATTGTCCTTGTATTATGCCTATCATAGTGATTTTTTTATGTTTGGAAAGTAAATATGATGGACAGGTTAAATTATAGGTTATGAGTTGTAATGAGGAGTTGTTCAATAGTCAAAGTTGTTATCTTGTTGAATTCTAGTGAAAGCTCACTTTATATGATTGCCCTTAAAGATATAAAGGTAGTTGGAATTGAATATTGCTAGAAATTGTCCAAATTTATGAGTTCTATGGATGAAGTATTGATACTTCATAAATGAAGTATCGATACCTAGAAAGTAGCATGCCCTAAAAGGCATTCTATGTGAAAAGTATTGATACTTCCCTAAGAGGTATTGATATACTTGGCATCTAGAAAGCCTTCTAGATGTAAAGTATCAATACCTCTCAATGAAGTCTTAATGCCTAAGGTACAGAACAACATATTTTCTCCCTTTTAATGACTTTTCACTTGTTTTTAACTCCCCTTTTCAATCCAAACTCTTTTGTGACTTTGTTTTCAATTAAAATGATTTGAATTGGTCTTATAACAACGTACTTAATAAGGATTTGGAAGAAAAATGATGGTTATCTCTAAATTCATGTTTATATTAAAATTGTGATTATGTGAAAACTTTTCCTCTATGGCATGTCCCTTTCCCATATTTGCTCATTGAGTTTTATAATGCACTCACTAAAGATGTACTTGTTTTGTTTCAAATCAGTAGCTTGCTTGGCTTGTCACCTTATGGAGAAGTCTCACAACTTATATCTTGGTAGGTGTGATAAAGTCTTCTTTCAAGACTTCAGTGTCTTTACACTCCATTGTGGTGTCGAGTCGAGTGTTTATTATTATGTTTATGTGATGTTTAACACTTTTAGGTATGTAGCCATGAATTGGCTTTATGCTTGATATGGTTATTACATGTGAATGAATGTGATGGCTCAAAAGCCTATATGAACACCCAAAGTGTGTGTATGATGTTGATATTAAAGGATATATGAAACTATATGTGATATGGATTTTGATTATTAAATGAAAGATTTAACCATACTTTGTGATGATGATTCCATACTGTATGATATTACACTTGATTAAGTGCACCATTGTTTGTGATGATATATTTATAAGTGATGAGTTAAAGGCTTGTTTGAGTCTAGTGGGTTATACCCATATAGGACCTTGCACTAGTCATGACCATAGAATCAAGTCGTGACATCTTTGAAATTCTACAGATGAGTGGCTGTGTGGCTTTGCATTTCACCTTAGGAAATGCATGGAGTACCATGCGGACCTTTGGGGGGGTATATCAAGGATTATGTCTTGCATAGGACTTAGGCCATTGCAAAATTGATCTTTAAATTGACAGCAAGCTTGTTGTGCAAGCCATTAATTCCCCTATTTTTCATCCATCTTTCAACTTGGGAAGTTAATATTCATCATGTCTTCCAAGAGTGCAATGCCTTGGCAGATTTTATGACTAATAAAGGTTTTCTTTGGATGAAGAATTTATTAGTTTTGATTCTCCTCCTATTAGAGCTTGGGACCTATGGACCAATGATGCTATGGGGTGTGCTTCTTTTGTCCCTTTGATTATTTATATATATATATATAT